ATGTTATCAAATTGCTGTTTTTTTCAAATCTATAATAATATTAGTTAATTCTCAAGAAGCTGGAGGAGGTGTCCTGTGCATTACTCAGTATAATATTTATATTCTTGCTTATCACCAATTGTATTTTAGAGGTGATTTCTATGAGGATATTTTCCGAGTTTTCTAAGATTTCACCAATCTATCAATGCTATCAAGTGTGGAAGAGCCATGCTTCGGTACGAATGGGCCGGCTCGACCGGAGTGAAACAACGGCCTAACAGAAAACCGACGACAAACAACGCTTGCGTTATGTTTCGTCGTGTTTGAGGTTACCGGAGGCCCAATTATCCCCCTCCCCAGTCTCCCCAATTCCCGAATTGTACACAATTCTCAAATTTCCAATTCCCAAAAGGCCGGTAACGCACTTGTAACGCCTCGGTGTTTCAGGTGTCCATGGGCGACGCCGATTGCTAACCATCAGGTGGTCCGTCTCCTAGTTTCCCGGCTAGTCCCATAAAAAAATTTGGAATATTATCCCCCTATATAAAACTTTCTATCAGACTCACAATCGGATGACAAGTCATAGATTGATATTTGAAAGATCGTGATCGTGAAAGAAAAGTCTTAGTACTATATCTATTACAAATTACAATATCAATATAAACATACTCACAGTACAAAGAAAAAAACGTGCAACTTAAACAATAGCATTCCTTAACCAATTTCATAACTTTTCATTGACCAAATTGTTTCAACTGCCGTTCATGACTATGACATAAGTAATTTGATGGATTGGCCATGTGATCACGGCCCACGATTAAGATTATCGCGATTTTTTTATAATGTGGGTCAGGTTTAATAGAAAGGCTTTATTTACATCGGTATAAAGATTGAGATAACAATGATATTGTGAGTCGAGTTATGCTTCAGATAAAGTTAACTTGTTTATGTAAACGTTCCGTTGTAACAAGTGTAGTGATTTAATTATGGTAATCTTGTATGAATATGTATGGCGTATGAGATAATAATGTAACATCGGTTCAGACGGTTAATTTAGTAGCAAAGTAGACAGAGTGTGTTTATTCTTCCAAATACATTTTAAGTAAATTAATCAATGAAATATTTAATTTCCAGCACAGGTT